TGTGAGACAATAACACTTCCTGTTGGACGACATGCGAGACATAATTGAGGTTATTTTTGCAAAATGGCTTATGCGGCCTAAAGATGGCTAGAAGTACAAAATTTGGCTAAGACCCCACAAAGCCAAGAACCTAAGATTTACTAGGAAGACCGAACCCTATGTGGTTTACCTACGTATCACGCCCCGAAAGACGAGAATCAGGTATGCGTAGTTCGGGAAGATTGGATACGAGCGAGAATAAAAGAAACAACTAATTAGAGAAAATATACTTTTTGTCCTTTTTTTAAAAAAATGATGAAACAGTAAACTACTTTTGGATTTTCTTTTTTCCCTTTTTTGTTGATTTTTTTGAAAATGATGGAAAAGTGCAAAATCTTTTTGGATTTTTCATGCTTTTTTGTCTTTTTTTTTAAAAAAATGTGAAAGAAGAAAATAACAAGGCCCTACTTACTTTATTTTCACACTTCACCTTCTTGTTTTCCTCATTTACCCTCAGCCATCATTGGTCCGCCAAATGATCCTTTTACCCTTGACGAAATGCAACGTATAGCACATAGGATGCATCAGGATGGTCTTTTATTTTTGGGTACACCTGTCCTAGACGGACCCAACCCCTGTGTTGAGTCCCCAAAGTCAAATGCACGTTATGCAATCAAGCGTTCCTACTAGGGATCCGGCATGAGACTGAGTGATTCTAGGTTCAAAACATGGGTATATTGTTCTAGACTTGTGTACCCGAGTGGACAACTCGAGCCGAGGGGAGGCTACGTACCGGGAACCAAAAGGTCATCCGGCTTTGTAACTTGTCCGAGCCTCTTTCTAATTTAGGGTATGAAACTAATAGAAAAGAAGTCACGCCCGCGTGCACTTCTTCGAAGATGATAAGAGAAGGGTTTCGTAGCAGTTTATATACAGTTTAAATAATATCAAAGCGATAAAAGGCAACATTTAGCACATTAAGACCAAACATGTAAATAGAATCAGATAATAAATAAAGCCAAATATAAAAATTATTCTAAGCTCGAATTCTGAACCTTGAACCAGAAGTTCTGGGTTCTTTTCCCTAGTAGAATCGCCAGAGCTGTCACACCTCCTTTTTACTACCCCGGAAGGGTATAAGGGAGTTTTTTCCCAATTTAAGTGACAATCGAAACGGGATTACTTATTTAAAATTAGAGACGCCACTTGGGATAATTTATGGTTTCCCAAGTCACTGGTTCAAATCACGAATCGAGGAAAGATTGATTCTGTTTTACAATCCGCGAACACAGAAATCCGGGTAAGGAATTCTGTTAACCCGAGAGAAGGTGTTAGGCATTTCCAGGTTCTGTGGTTTTATCACGGTCGCTCAACTGTTATTATTGTCCTATTTATTTGACTTTAAAACATCTTTGAAACCTATGTGCATTTTTATTCCTTTTAAACAACTTTTAATAATCTGATTGTTATACAACTAATTATTTGATTACAAGTTGCGAATCATGTCACGGGAGTCGTACCCACGATCCACAACATGTTTATTTTATTAACAAGATTAAATTATGGCCGGGTCACATAAATGTACCCCCGGATTTTAGAAATTAAGTGTTATAACCACATCACGAAAACCGTACTCGTAGCTACGATAATTTATTTAATTAACGCGCTTAAAGCAAACTATGAGATTTCAAGGCATTTTCTACACTAATTAAGATATCGATATGAGGGCCATAGATTATGTGATTCAGTTGTATGAATGGCACGCCTCAGTTTTATTCAAAGGAAATGCATTCAAATAAAAGAACTACGGATATTCATACTTAAGACTTGTTAGGTATCACAACTACGCCACGAGAACCATACATGTAATTGTGATGATTTATTATAGCGCGCCTAAAGCAAGCTACGGATGCTTCTGAATATTAAAGGCCTAAAACATACTATTAGCGAATATAGGCAAGTAACAAAGCGATAGTCAATTAAAGGCTCAATTTCATAAACTTTAGCACTCGATCCCCTTTAATCTAATTTGACATAGTTCAGTTGATGAATATCAATCCAATTTCTATACTATGACAAAATCATGTTCAACTATAACCAATTCGAGTAAACACGAGTAAATATCCAGGAAATTCAAAACCAAGGAGAACAATTAAAGAAACAATAGGATCATATCACCAAACAAACATTTAACATTAAACTTGAATAAAACGGATAGAGGATGATAGAATTGGACCTCACTATAGCAGGAAAATTAGTTGTTTTAGTGTTTAACACTTAAAAATATGACGAACCACGGACGGAACCCGAATTAGCACCGGAAACTCAACCAAACATGGATGCAAACCCACACTTTAATCACTGTTCACGCTGGAATCGAGGCAAAGATGAAGCTTCTAAAGAAAAGGCATTTAAATGTTCTCTCAGCTTTAATAAATCCAAGAAAAACCATGGAATAAGGCTAGTCCGAAATTCAATACTGATTATCTTAGTTCGAATAGTGACATTATTTCCTTGTACACATTTCAACTGGTGAAAACGTCAAAACCAACTCAAAACAGATATCGGTAAGTAATATAACGGCCTGCAGTCACACTTGGTCGGATAATCTTCACAACTTGGCCACGTTTTAGCCCGTAATATCTAGCAATAGGATCAATGATCTGACTTAGAGGAAGTTGTGTTTCTTTCACAATATATCGTTCCAGCAAGGTCTTTTTTTCTTCAGGAGTAAGAAGTTGGTCTCTTTGAAGGTGAAGGAGCAGCATCGTTAGGATCTGTTGTTTTTGGAGAAGAGGAAGATGAAGCCTAGGGTGAGAGTCAGGGGTGTGGTGGTGTGGCTGAATGGAAGAGGTCATTGTTTTGTGCTGTGAGGACGAAGAAGAAGATCGGCGAGGGGGGGTCCTTGGGTGTCAGCGGCGGATGGAGGATGGTCGTTCGTGGACTGGTTTCCGGCAGCTGCTCTTTGGTTTTTCACTAGTTAAGTTTGCTGAAGAAGATGATTTGAAGGGGGGGGGTCCTTTTTAGGTTTTAAAAAAACGGTGGATTCTCTTCTGTGACTATGTGAAGGAGACCCAATCGAGGAGGTGGGGGTCTCTGATTTTTTGAGAATTGCGGTTGGCGTCTCCTCTTGGGGTTTAAGGTTCTTTTTAGAAGAAGTAGGGTTATGATTGTTGGGTGTTGGGTCGGTTCGACCCGGTTTGGGCTGGGTTGGGGGAAAATTTGGGCTTCTAAAATGTTTGGCCCAACTCAATTTAAAACCAGCCTTTTTCAATTTCCTTCTCCTTTTGTTTTCTTTTCTTTCTTTAATTAATTAAAACCCTAAATTAAATTTCTAAATTAATTCAAATTATAAAATTAAGCTAATTATCTAACCATAATATTTATAAAAATTAGTTGATCCTAAATTAAAAAAGAAAACTTAATAATCCAAAATTTAAAGCTAGAATGTAGAAATGAGCCATTTTTTGTGATTTTCATTTTTATTAAAGCAACTAATTAATTAATTAATCCTAAAATGTGAACAAAAATCTAAATGCAATGCATGGTATTTTTGGTATTTTTCATGACTTTAATAAAGGTAAACATGCACAGAAATACAAATAATTTAATAAAAGATTCCTACAAAATTCCTATAAAATTACAAACAATTGGAAAAAATCTATTTCTTAATTGGTCGGAGTATTTCACATAGGACAAAAATCACGTGCTCACACATCATATTCCGGTTCTTGATTCATTATTTCATAGTTAGACAGTGTGCTATGATCTGGGCATGAAGTCCGCAAGCATGTCATGTTATTTAAGTCCGCATTATTAGAATTGAAAGGAAGAAATAAGAAAAGTAACAAAAATCAGAAAGAATAAAGAAAGAAATTCATAGATGATGAACTATTGATTTCATTTCATTGAATTTTTGACGATAACAGGGTTTATGTTGGGATTTAAAGACATTAAACTAAAAGAATCATCTGAGTTACACCCTTGAATAACTCATGATGTAGAAAAGGTGGCAAGACTGGACTACCGGAATTCTCGCCTGACTGGGAACAGAGTAGCCTTCCAATTTTGCAACTTGGCATTGGGCCCCATGTACAACACCTCAGCGGTGCTCGAGCCTTCTCCCGGCTGGACCATGTGGGTTTCATATAACATCTGCATCATAGCTCCACATATTTCTTCTATTTCTTCGGCCGTGAAGGCCTCATCTTCTTCTTCTATGTACTTGGGGTTGACGAATGTCTTGAAAAGGTGGGGGATCGGCTTAGACAAGACCCAACCATTGTTTTTTCACTCATTTGCCCATGTTTTATCAGTTGGCATGGCTTGAAAACCCACACCAAAGAACTTCTTGCTAGCAGCCAAAGTGATAGGTTCTGTGATACCTTGCAATGATGTCCCGAGCCCCTTCCCGGGCTTATAACCATGCCTGATCATTTCATTGGCAGCCATAATTAATGCATTTGAGAGAAATGGTTGAGGGAACGGGCTTCCTTCTTCACATTAGTCTGCGACCACAACCTCGAAAGCTTGATAAACTATATGTTCGCTACCTTCCCTGGCTTCCCGACATGGGACTGACGGGTCCCGATAAATTGATTGCTCGTCCTCTTTGTGGACTACGATTTCCTGATCTTTATATTCAAATTTTACCATCTGGTGGAGAGTGGAAGGTATAGCCCCCGCCGCATGAATCCAGGGCCTTCCCAAAAATGAAATTATAAGAAGTGTCCATGTCTAGGACCCGAAATGTCACCTCGAAATTCACAGGACCAATAGTCAAAATCAAATCGATCTCGCCTATGGTATCTCTCTTGATGCCATCAAAGGCACGCACACAGACATTGTTAGGCCTGATTCTCTCAGTCCCAATCTCCATTCTTTGCAAAGTTGAGAGAAGGCATATATCAACTCCGGATACGCCATCCAAGATGACTCTTTTCACATAATACCCCTCACATTTAACTGTCAGATGGAGGGCTTTGTTGTGGGCAGCCCCTTACGGGGGCAAATCATTCTTGCTAAATGAGATCTGGTTGATTGCGAAGAATCTTTCTACCATCCTTTCCAGTTGTTCAACAGTGGTTTCAATAGGAACATAAGCTTCATTGTGGGTTTTTATCAACACTTTCTAATGCTCGGTTGAGCTTACCAGTAGAGACAGGAGTGAGACCTGTGAAGGAGACTTCTGGAGTTGGTCTATTATCTCGTAGTCCATAGTTTTCATTTTTCGGAAGAACTCCTTTGCTTCTTTGGAACTAACTGGCTTTTTGAGCGGGAAGTGTTTTTGCTTGGCATTGTTCACTTCTTCCAGATTAAGGTACTTCCCAGATGGGTTGGTTTCACTTACTTCCCCTATGATTTCCTTCCCCTTGTATGTTACAATTGCTTTATTGTAGTTCCAGGGGACTGTAGTGGGGTCTTCCATAAGCCTTTGTGGTGCGCGGCTAATGATCACGGGCTCGTTCACCCTGGCTGGAATTGTCGGCCCATGTGACACGTAAGTCCCTTTGGGCACATACATCTTGGGTCCCTTGTTCATCTCAAACCTATTGGGAGGACTCAATGCCAATTGTTCTTTCTTGTGAGCTCGGGCAACATAAAGAATGGCGTCTTTAGTGGGTATTGCCCCTGTTTTGGTTTCCACAATCTTTTCTTCACTTCGAGGAGTGGAGTTACTCTTCTTCTCCCCCTTATCTTGCTTTGCGACAGCCTTTGGCTTCTTTTCTATACCGTATATGGCAATGATGGATTTTAGAGCTGGGTCAAATTCTTTATCTTCACAAATCATCCCAATGACTGGCCCGTTGTTGTGAGTCGACAATGGTTTGTTGGTCACATTGGGGATCTCTTCGTCTTTCAATACTACCCTCTTCTGCTCTATCAAGTTCTCAATTGCCCTTTTGAGAGTCCAACAGTCTTCGGTGTCATGCCCTTCTACCCCAGAATGATAAGCGCATCAGGTATCGGGTCGGTAGGAAGGTGACTCCGGGTTTTGTCTGTTCGGCGGTACGGGTTGCAACAAACCCATTTGGACCAGTTTAGGGAAAAGGCTAGAGTATGATTCACCAATAGACATGAAATTTGTTCTTCTGGGTGGTTCCCGAGCACGGGCATTGTATGGAAAGTTATTTTGAGGGGGGCAGGGATTATGTGGAGCTTGGTGAGGAGGGTTGTTTCTAGGAAGTGGAGCTCTGTTTTGGTTAAACAGTTTTTGTGGCCGAGCGTATGGATAGGTGTTCATTACTGTGTACGATTGAGGAGCCATAGAATAGGCCACATCCTGATGAGGATAATAATGTTGTGGGGTGCTTGGAGGGAAGTAACCTTTGGGTGGATGGGGGTTTCTCAGGCTTGAAGCCAATATCGCCACCTCTTCTTTCTTCTTTCTATTTTCTACACCACCTAACCCATTTTGGATTTCTTGGGACGTAGATCTTATGGAAGATTGGCTCAATATGCGACCCACTTTCAGACCATTTTCGACCATCTCACCAATCTTGATTGCCTCAGCAAACGGGTTTCCCATTGCAGACATCATATTTTGAAAGTAGTCGGCCTCTTGGGATTGTAGAATGACACTGACCATTTCAGTTTCATCCATAGGGGGCTTGACCCTGGCCTCTTGTTCGCGCCATTTAACAGCATAGTCTCGAAAACTTTCTAATGACTTCTTTTTGAGATTTGACAGGGAATTCCTGTCATGAGCTATGTCTATGTTGTACTGAAATTGTCTGACAAAATTTCAGGCCAGATCATCCCATATATGCCAACTAGACATGTCTTGGTCCGTGTACCACTCGGATGCAATGCCAACTAGACTTTCTCCGCAATAAGCCATTAGGAGCTCTTCTTTCCCGCCTGCCATTCTTAATTGATTGCAATACCTCTTGAGGTGGGCTATAGGATCCCCGTGCCCGTCATACTTTTCAAACTTGGGGGTCTTGAAACCGAGGGGCAATTGCACATGCAGGAACATACATAGATCAGCATGGGATATGCTCTTTTTTTCGCTCAAGCCTTGGATACTCTTGAGGCTCTATTCCATGCTTCTCATTTTTCGAGCGATTTCCTCTTGCTTGGGGTTCTTTGTATCCTTCTCCTATCCCGTGGTAAACTCGTACCAGGGTTGTTGTGAGTAATAATTGGTGGTGAAATGGGTAGGTTCTGGTGGAAAAGATGGTACTTGGAACGTAAAGCATGATGGATCAAAGTTTAGCCTGGGCACAGTTGGTTGTACTGTAGCCGAGGTTGGTGATGCGATAAATATGTTGGAGGCCATTCCCGAAATTACCTGGGGGCGAACCTCAGAAGGTGTTCCGGTGAAGTGAGTTGAGATGGTGGGGTACCCAAGTGGGGTATTTGGGTAACTTATTGGGACATTGGAATTTCCACCTGCTCTGGGAAATAACTCGAGGAAACCGGGTATGGCACTTGGCAGCTCTCTACCGTTGGACTAGGCATCCCACATTTCTAGCACACGGAGGCGTAGTGCCCTGTTCTCCTCAGCAGCTGCTAACTCTGAGGTTGGTATAACCGATAGCGGGCTATCCTCTAGGATAGGAATTGTTGGTGGATGACCTTCTGATGACATTTCTACACTGCCCTTGGATCTTGTAAAGTATGGGTGTGAAGTCAGGTTACCACAAACCAACTACCTTAAAAATAGAACCTATACTCATTAGTAGATAACAAACCGGTTAGTTTGAAGCAATTAACACATAGGGAATCACACATTGGGGGTGTGATACACCTATACAGTTAAATGTATTTCTACATGTTTTGCAACGATTGCATGTCTCATCCCAGCTTTTGTTTATCTCTCCGATCTTCTCTCTTGCTCTCTTTTGCACTTTCATTTTCTCTCTTGTTCTCATTCTCTTTTCCTTGTTTACTCTCTTTTCTTTTTGGTTTTTCTTTTTGGTTTTCTCTTTTCCCCATTTCTTTTTTTTTTAAACATGACCGAATCCGATAAGGATTGCCTACGTATCACGACGCCACATGAATCAGATCATAACATAGTTCAAGGAGTAAATGCAAAAATAAATAAAACATTTTTGGTTTTTTCCAAATTTTCATTAAAACAAGACTTCTAATTTTTCTCTATTACAAAGACTCGATCTTACATACTTGAGAATTGAAAACTAAAATAGACTCGAAACAGACTTTAGGAATGAAAATACAGGCTCGAAAAAGAGAAAACAATCAGGAGTACATCAGTGCCTCCAATCCTGTCCTAGGAACACCAACTGGTCTTGCTACGGGCCTATGCACCATGTCATCATGGAGGCAATAGAGATCATCCATTATCTGGCGAACAAAGATCATGACCGTGGAAAAGAACAAGGACTTGGTCATGTCCTCACACTCGTTGCACTTCATCACAACGTAGTCGGCGATTCTTCTAACCCTTTCTCTGATGATGCCCTTTTCTTGCAACAATCGCCCAATCTGCTGAGATCTAGCCTCCAAAACCCGGGTGGTTGTATGATTCTGTTCTTGTAAATGTTGTAGGTCTCCCACTAGCTGTGCCATTAAAGCGTAGCAATGTTCCCTCTCGGCCTTGAAGCTCTTGGCTTGTTTAGTCATTTCACCCTCAAGGCTATTAAGCTCCTTTTTCCAACCCATGACCCCTCTGTCATATCTTTCCTTCAATTTTCGAACGAAAGTTGCCCGTTCTTCTGCATTTTTGGCCAACTTTGTTCGTACTTTCACTAGCTCAGACTCAGTCTTTTGCAAATCATCCTCAAAAACACATACGTTTTGTGTAAGGTTGTAGATGAGCCTTTCATCTTTTCTACTTCTGCCCGGGTTCTCAGCTGCTATTCTTATTTTTCAAACTTGGGCCCGGAGAGCTTCATTTCTTGGACCAACCTTCTTCTTTCACCTTCAGCTTCTTGTTCTTGTAGATCATTATTGAATATGACATTTCTCAATTCTTCTTACAAAGCGTGAATGGTGGCTTGATATTTTTTCTCTTTCTCTCCCCAAGCCAACCTCTCCCGAATTTTATCATCAAAAGCTTGAACATGAGGTCTCTTGGCGGGCCTTTCGGGCTCGGGCTGGGCTCTAGCTCATCATTTGCGTAAAACCTTATTTCAAACCACGTAGCATAATTCGGATCCACTTCCCCTCTCGCAAGATCCGGCACCTGGGTGTCACTTTTCAGATATCGGTAACCATTTCAATCCCGTTGGACTAAAGCCTCAGGCAGTGTTGCTTCTGGGTGTAGCTCAATGACTTGGGTACTCAAATTTACATCTTCGGGTACCACTTGATACCCTCCCAGTTGCCTTAGAACTCCTTGCGGTGCATATGGCTGGATACTCTTCAGGCCCATTATCATCAAAAGTAGCCTTTTGAAGTTGTCATGTACATGACTTCTGTTACAGGAAGCCACCCTAGAGTCCATTCAATTTGACTTGCCTTTAAAGTCCTTAAGTGGGAAACCCAAGCCTCAAAACCTTCTGAAGTTTTGTAATCTTTTACCCTCTCCTCATGACTCTTTATGTAGTTGTTCCCGTCTGCATCGTGACTCATGAACTTGGGGTGACGGCAGAGATATTCGATCAACCATATTTGAAGAAGAATGTTGCAACCCTCAAAGAATTGAGCCCCGGTTTTACATAATGTCAATGCTCGATAAATGTCTGTCGGTACTAACGGAACAAGTGTGTAATCTTCCTTGGTAGTGAGGAGTTGTGCAATTTTAGCCATGTGAGTGTCTATTGTCCCTTCCGCATTTGGAAAGACCATGATCCCCAAAAATGCCACAATAAAAGCGAACCGACAATGAATTTGCGAGGTGCTCTTATCTTGTTTATTGTTCAACCCTTTTTCATATGTTTCAAAACCAGCTGAATGCTCGAACCTGAAGTTTAAGAAGTAGAAAGAACAACATCCTTTGCTTACATGAGCCTTCTTCATTTGTTTACTAATATTCAGAAGATCGAAGAACTTGTGCACAGAGGGAGCCCTTGGGAATATGAGTTGTTGCTTTCTCAAGTCTTGTCCAAGTTAATGTATCTGGCCATTTCCTCTAGAGTAGGGGTAAGCACGAAATCGGAGAAACAGAACACGTTGTGGACAGGATCCCAAAAGGTTACCAAGCTTTGATCAAATCCTCCCGAGGGTTGATGTCATGATGTCTATAAGGGAACCCAACTGCTTTTTCACCCAATTCTGGCCATCTTTATCTAAATCATTCCACTACATGTGAAGCTGCAACTGAGCCCTCTATCCCTATTTTCTGTTTCATTTTCCTTTTATTCAAAAACAGTGTACTGTTATTTCTTCAGACTTTATATGTAGCAAATCTTAGACCGTATGTGATACTGTGACACTAGGTTTTGGGTGGTTAAGGCTTAAGTATTTGTAATAAATTCAGATTTCATATATGTTATTGTTGTCTTCCGCTTAAATTTGGATTTTTTTCGTTGTTATCACGTTATCGCCTTATACTTGTTAAAAAGAAATAATTGGATAATGAAGTAAGTGGTTAAAGGATTGGCTTGCCTAGCTCACATTAGTAGGCGCCATCACAACCCCGAGGTGGGAAATCCGGGTCGTGACAAGTTGGTATCAGAGCTCTAGGTTACATAGGTCTCATAGTTCATAGACAAGCTTAGTAGAGTCCGAGGGATCGGTACGGAGACGTCTGTATTTATCCCCCAGAGGATACAGAGTTAGGAAAAAACTTCACATTTATTATTTCCAGTCGTGCGGTTTGGTTACTCAATGCTAACTAAAATTCTACTATGTTCTTTAGTAGATGGCGAGAAATGTCCTTCTTCGTCCACTGACTAGCAGCCCGAGCCCCCAGCAACAGCTCCCACGAGGGACGAAGGGCAAGGCCGAGGCTGTGCTAGAGGCCGAGGTAGGGGTAGAGCTCAGCCCAGAGCAGCAGCACCCGCAGCGGAGCCTTAGGTTGATTTTGATGATGAGGTTCCGGCCCCAGCAGTTTCGATGGGCCCAGCTCAGGTCCCAGAGGGGTTTATTGCTACCCCAGTCCTCCAAGATGCTCTGGTCTATCTAGTAAGCCTTATGGAGAGTGTTACCCGGACAGGTTTGCGCCCTGTAGCACCGGCCGTATCTCATGATGGAAGAGGAGCCCAGACTCCTACTACTCGCACTCCGGAGTAGGTAGCTCCCCAGTTTCAGACTCCAACAGTTCAGCCAGTTGGAGTAGTCCAGTCGGGTGTGGTAGCTCAGACCAAGGATGGAGCAGCTGTGTCTGCCGATACTTTATGGAGGTTGGATAGGTTCACCAAGCTCTTCACTACTACTTTCAGCGGTGCATCTTCTGAGGATCCCCAGGATTATCTATACAGTTGTAATGAGGTTCTCATGAACATAGGGATAGTTGAGACCAATGGGGTCGATTTTTCCACTTTTCGCTTGTCTGGATCCGCCAAGACTTGGTGGAGAGATAATTGTTTGGCTAGACCAGCCGAATTGCCAGCCTTGACTTAGGAGCAGTTCACTCAGCTATTTCTGGAGAAGTTTCTCCCCATCACTTAGAGAGAGGCCTATCGGAGGTAGTATGAGCATCTCTAGCAGGGTTCTATAACTGTCACCCAGTATGAGACCAGATTCATCGACTTGGCTCGTCATGTTCTTATCATACTTCCCACAGAGAGAGAGAGAGGGTGAGGAGGTTCATTGATGTATTTATTTAGCCGATTTGTCTTCAGATGGCTAGGGAGATAGGGAGTGAGATTTCCTTCTAGGAGGCAGCCAATGGGGCCAGGAGAGTGGAGATGGTTCTGTCACAGGGAGGTGGTCATGGGTCGGACAAGAGGCTCAGTCATTCAGGCAAATTTAGTGGTACCTTGTCTGGGGTTAGGGATTTGTATGGTAGAGGCCATCCTCCTAAGCCTTTTCAGTTAGCACTCTAGGTTTCTCACGGTGCTTCAGGTGGCTGTGGCCCTTAGATGCAGTATTTTGATCAGCAGTCCTACAATGCACCACCAGCTCCTATCAGTGCACCGCCGCTTTAGAGTTTTCGGGGGGTCATTCAGGTCGTTAGGGCCAGCAATCTCAGCAGCCGAGGGCTTGTTACACTTGTGGTGATATGGATCACATTGCTAGGTTTTGCCCTCGAACACCGAGTAGCTCTTAGCATCAGGGTTCCCGTGCCATGGTTCAGGCACTAGGTGTTCCACAACTCATGTAGCCAGCTAGAGGTGGGGTAGAGGTGCTAGAGGTGGAGGTAGAGGTATTAGAGGTAGAGCTCAGGCCACTAGAGGTGGAGGCCAGCCAGCAGTAGGCCATCCCAGAGATGTAGTTCAGGATAGTAGGGCCCAGCCCCGATGTTATGCTCTTCCAGCCAAGCCCGAGGCTGAGGCTTCAGATGCAGTTATTACAGCTACGGTTCTGGTTTGTGATAGAGATGCTTTAGTGTTATTTGATCCAAAGTCTACATACTCGTATGTGTCATCTTATTTTGCATCGTATCTGGTCATGCCTAGTGATTCTTTGAGTGCTCTGGTTTATGTGTCTACACCAACTGCTTTTTCACCCAATCCTGGCCATCTTTATCTAAATCATTCCACTACATGTGAAGCTGCAATTGAGCTCGTTCTATGACAGATT